GTCCTGGGATTGAGCCCCACATCGGGCTCCCTGCTCAGTGGGGAGCCTGCTTCCCCCTCTCTCTCTTCCCTCTCTGCCTACTTGTGATCTCTGTCAGATAAATAAACAAAATCTTAAAAAAAAAAAAAATCACAGAGGCAGAAGGGAATAGTCTTGGGTCTGCTCTCCACCTAACCCTGCCTTACTGAAGACATTGTGAACTTTGCTGGCTGATCTCATTTATTCAGCAAATTGTTTAGCAGATTGGAGCCATTTATATAAAATCATGAGATTAGTCACTTTGAAACAGATATAGTGGGCGCCTGGGTGGCTCAGTGGGTTAGGCCACTGCCTTCGGCTCAGGTCATGATCTCAGGGTCCTGGGATGGAGTCCCACATCGGGCTCTCTGCTCAGCAGGAAGCCTGCTTCCCTTCCTCTCTCTCTGCTTGCCTCTCTGCCTACTTGTGATCTCTCTCTGTCAAATAAATAAATAAAATCTTAAAAAAAAAAAAAAACAGATATAGTCTGATACAGTATAAAATAGCCAAGAATAGGTCTGTTGTGTAAACATCCTCCAGCCTTGGGGCACCTGGGTGGTTCAGTGGGTTAAGCCTCTTTGGCTCAGGTCATGATCTCAGGGTCCTGGGATGGAGTCCGGTAGCATCAGGCTCTCTGCTCAGCAGGAAGCCTGCTTCCCCCTCTCTCTGCCTGCTGTTCTGCCTGCTTGTGATCTGTCAAATAAATAAAATCTTAAAAAAAAAAAAAAAAATCCTTAAGCCTCAGTTAAATGGCCAGCCCCTCTTATTATAAAGAAGCATTAAATTTCTTAACTCATTTTCTGTGCCAACATTTTGAACAGTAAGAAGTAAGGGAAAATGTGATCTGTTCTTGTCATAGGAATTGTTCTATAAAAAAGAGGAAAACACATCAAATTTCCACATCCATTCCCCAGACTGAAAACATAATGTTCCTACATAATTGCAATAACATCCTTTTAAAAAAAAAAAATTGTAATTTCCTTCTCTCTTCCCAAAGGGAATCCCTGTTAGCAGTTTCTAAATATTCTTCGGGGGAGGGGGGATTGTATGTATACCTGCCTATATATAGGTTATATTCTCGCACAGTTAATTCTTTTAGCCAGCTGTGATTCTAATGTAGCCTGTGAAATTACATAATCACTTTTATTAAAAAAAATTAACTAGTTGTTCCAACTCAGTCCTGTTTTGCCAGTAATAAATTGGCAATCAGTCTTGGCAGTCGGTTGGAAATGGCTGGTTGCCCTAATCATTCTGTAGGGCTGAGATCCCATCTCTAATCCTTGATTGAAACCTGTGTCTACCCATAGATTCTGGCTAGAATTTTTATGTACCTGTAAGCCGTGTTCATTGTAGGAAAACATTTAGTGGGGCATATTAGGCTCTTTTGTTTTGTAAAGACGCACAGAAATTATTTCTCTTTCCCTCTGGCTTCTGTTTATCCAATGAGTCCACTGCCTTCTCTCTAGATTGGCAACAGGTCACTCTTGGCAACAGTGACCTGAATTAAATTAAGTAAAATATTGAAAGGAAACTAAAACCCAAAGGTGATAGTTTCTAAATTGTCTTCTAGAACCTGAACTTAACTATGAGGAAATAACATAAATAATGTTATAAAACAACTGGCTTGCACTCTTAAAAAAGCCAATGTCATGAAAGACAGCAAAAGGTTAAGGAGTGTCCCAGATTAAAGAAGACTTCAGAGACGTGCCTGCCCAATGCAGTAGGATCCTGGGTTGGGGGAGGGAAGGTTGCCATGAAAGACAGCATTGTACTAATAGGAAAGATTAGAATGTGAATTGTATATTAGATAATTGTACCAACATTAAATTTCCTGCATTCGATAATGGCGCTGTGGTTAATCCAGATCTCCTTTCTTGATGACATTAGCAACCAACTCATTCTTAATTATGGTAGGTCCAGGAGTTTCAGCCCACTGGAGTCTTTTGTGGAGGAAGAACATCCTTGTTTTTCAGACACTTGTAAAAATTCTAACTGGCATGGTGAACTGTGGTGCCCCCTTGCGGTAAGAGTTCCTTCATTCTTGGGACTGACTTCAAGAACTGGCGACTTTCACTGTCACCTCACAAATACTTTTCAAAGCCTGTTACATATCCAGCATCTGCTAAGTGTCGAGGATACATAAGCTCCCTGTGGAGCTTCCGAGCACACACACAAATATGGAATCACACACACAAATACGGAATCACACACACAAATACGGAATCACACACACAATGGAAGGTTTGAAGGTGTCATATTACATAGATTGATTATCTCTAAAACTTGGCATGAAACAGGAGGGACAGTCCCTGTTTGGTTCATAATGGGTTTGGGGCAGCCTTTCCCCATGGCTGTTGGGCATTACCCGTTCTGGACCAGAAGGCCTGGGTCCCTGCTTCCCTCCTCACTACTTATGATTAGTAATAATACAGTGAGTGCTTTCCTGTGACTTAAAATAATCATTTTTTTAAAGTACAAATGAGAAAAAGTGAGATCGCAGTCAATCAAGCCCACCTCTGTCAGGGACACTGTAATTTGCAGCTGCAGAGGACCTGGGAGACCGACCCCACCTGTCTCGGTGGCAGATGGAGAGTGCCCTTCTTCCTGCCTGTGTTGCCTGTCCGCTCACAGCAGCAGCTCGAGCCTAGCTGCAGACAGCTGGATTAGTGACCTCAGCGAGGGGCTTGTCTGTGGAGCTCCAGATCGTCCTTTGTGTTGGAGGCACTGAGCAGTGACCCGTGGTGAGGGATGGAGGAGGACAGTAATGATGTCATGATGTGGAGGCTGGGGGTTGATTTACCCAACCGAGGTGACGAAACAGGGTTGCACAGAGTCACCCACATGGCCTGGCGGACTGTTTGAAAAAGGAAGAAGACAGTTGGCTCAAACAGACACAGTTCTAATATTTGGAGAACTCTACTAAATAAGCAGTGCTTATAGAATAGGAGTACTACTACAAGTAGTACTTGTAGAATAGGAAATGTGTTTCTAAGGATTGGGTGTAGAGATTTGAAACATTTTATTATGGACAGTTTCTTTAAAGAAAGCAAAAGGAGAGGTAGAACAGTGTCATGAGCCCCAGATATCCATCATCCATCTCCCGCTCTCCCCTGGATTATTTTCACATTATATTACTTAGGGATGGAATCGTAGTGGTGGACAATTATCTTTGTCTTCTTCACTGGAAGAATGCAGCTATGTGACGTTTACTTGGGTTTTGCTGGTTTCTCTCGCTCCCCCTCTGTCCCACCCCCAGGAGGAAGCATAGCATAGAGAGACAGAACATGGGCCCCGGAGCCCAAGCACCTGGGTTAGAATTGGGCTCTGCCTCCTATGAGCAGGTTGATCCTGGGCACGTCGGTAAACCTCTCTGGGGCCCCCTAGGTCTGCAAATGGCGAACATCAGTCATAAGCAGGTGTCAGCTCTCCCCATCGTTATTCTGTGGGACCTCTATGCACTCAAATAGGCTCTTGCACACCATAGTCCTGAGGGTGCTATAGTGTTTCACTCCTGAGGAAGCTGAACCCGCAATAGGTGAAATCAGAGTTTGCAAACTTGTTCTCGGGAATCAGCTGGGGAACTCGAAAAGCCACTGATGCGGGTTCCACCACGGGAGACTGATTTAATTGGCCTGGGATGTGGCGGGGGCGTTGGTGTAGTTAAAGATCCCCAGGTGATTGTAATGCGCAGAGACATGTGTGGGAACAAGCTTGGGAACCTGGAGGCAGGCAGAGCCCCAGTACCGTAGTCGTCAGTGAACCTTCTGCCATCTCTGTGTGGCCACTTGACTTGGGGGCCTGGATGTGGCTGGGAAAGTTAATCCTCTGGTTTCTAGAGCAGAGCCCCACCCTTGCACCCTCACCGATCAGAGCGTTTCACACCAGGCTTTATGTGTAAAGTTTTATTTGTGTTTGTTTTAGTTTTAATCCCAAATCCCTAAACAAAACAAAATGAGACAAAGGAAAAACTCCAGAGCCTCCATCCCATTCCAGGTGCCATCCCAGGGGACAGGAGGTGGCAGTAGCTGAAACCAGTACTCTTTGAATGCATTTCCTTCCTTCTACCCCTTCGGTCTGTGAACGTAGCTGTTGATGTTTGTATCAGTTCTCTATTGCCATAGTGATGCTAAGTATGGATCACAGAAGCGCAGTGGCACACGAAGTAAGCACAGCTAACACCTGTGGGTCCCCTGGGGACAGGATGCTCTCCGCCAGGGCTGCTGGGCTGGGTGGCTCCGCCCATGTGTGTCTCATCTTCTGCCAGGCCCAAAGGGGGAGCCGGGGAATGTTCAGGTCACATTGAAGGCAGAGGTAGAAGGACAACAGCCTCACTTCTGCATGAGTGGGCTGGGAGAATCCCCTGCGTGATGTCTGCTGTTGACCAGCACATGACCAAGTCCAAGGTTAAGGGGTAGGGAAATATGCCCCATTTGCTTTAAGTCCAAGCACTTCATGGGGTCGAGCCTAACATGAGTGGAAGGGAATGCGCTCTTTCCCAGGGGAAAGGACAAGGGGTGGTTTTGAACGGGAATCTATTACAAATGTAAACCATGGACGTTGCCTTCATAAGTGTTAATGGTAGCAGAAAGTTGCAACAGTTTTAGGTATTAAACATAGAAAAGATAGGTAGAATAGAACACACATACACAGTGAAACACAAAGCGGAGATTTAAAATGATGTAGCAAATATGTCACTGAAAATTACTTGTGCCACAAAATGGGGAAAAGCAGATTATGAACTGTTAATTCCCAGTTCTGAGAAGAACTATGTATATTCATATTTGAGTAGGTTAAAGATGCGTGCCAAATTGCTAATGATCATCTGTGGTAGAATTACGGAATATTTTTGTTTTCTATTTCTACTCCTGAATTTTCTGCATTTTCTGTGATGAATATACATTACTTATGGTAAAAAGAAAAACACTCGAAACTGTAAGAGTAGGCATTCTTACTAACTCCCTTTTTTCCTAACCTGTCAACAGGCAGCAAAATAATGGAGAATGGCCTTCTCTTCAAAGAACTTCTGCAGACTCCAAATTTTCGAATTACTGTGGTAGACGACGCAGACACTGTTGAACTCTGTGGTGCTCTTAAGGTAAAGTCGGCCTTGTTATTTCTGCTCAAGGAGAGGAGCTAATTGGCCGCTGTCTGCATTATCAAATCTAATCCTGAAAAGTGGGCTCTGTGTTCTGTGCTCCTACTTGAGGGAAGAATAGTGAATTGAGAGCCTTGTTTATCAGTTCCTATTTTACCCCTGCCTGTCCTGGGTGGTTGGACTTCCTCTTCCACTCCGCTTGGCTTTCATTTGTAAATTGGGGAGGGGGGTGGTGTGGAGTGTGGTGTTTTGTCTTTCGGAAATTAATATTTAAAAATTAAAATTTAATTAATATTTAATTAATAATATTTAAAAATTAATATTTAAAAAGCATGGAGAGTACCTTGATTGTAGAGTTTTACAGGGGAGTGAAGCATTGTTGGGTGTTTTTTCCCCCTGTGAATTCATATATTTCTCTTACACACTGTCTTGTGTGGGGAAGGGACTTACCTCTCTCTGAATTACACTACTCCTTCAGTTCGATGGCTTGATTGGTTCTTTTTAAGGGAAAGTAGTCTGCTGACAAAGGCTGCACTAAGGATAGTTTTATCTTTGTCCACAAAGGGAAATGGGCCAATGAAAGAAGCAGCTTCTTTAGGCCAGCGGCTTGGGAGGTTAGAGGGAAGCGTTTCCACGTGGGCTCCTGACCTGTTCCAGTCGGCCTATGGAAATCTTGGTGGTGGGGCCCTCTCTGGCTGACGCTGGAAAACAGCCAGTGGGAGCTGGGTTGCACTTTCTGATCCTTCTTCCAGTGGAATCAGCTGCCTTATCCACGCCCCCCCCCCCAAAAGAAAAAGCCTCAGTGTGAATGAATACCCCCCTTTGAGGCACTTTTGAGTCTTGTCTTTTGTAGGAAAGCTGCTTTTCAGGAATTTGAGCACCTCAGGAAGGAAGTCAGGCAATCTGGCTTGGGTTTAGGGTTTGTCAGGTAAAAATTGCAGAGATAGAAGGTATGCTGAAAAGACAAGAATCCAACGAATGCCTTCCCGCTCTTTCTTTTGATTGTACATACGTCCTTTTTTTCTCGTCAGAGTTTAAAAACACTTTGTGGAATTCATGTCTCATGTTTGTGTGGTCACATGTTCCTGTACAATGAGGATTTTATGAAGGAGAGTCAGTGAAAGGCTCAGGCTCCCTGGGGGCAGCACACGGCCCTGTTTCTGAAAGTTTGGGGCATTTTTCACGTTCTGGGCAGGCCGCATACACAGTTAAGACACTGGCTTTGGCTGCTTTGTGTGGTTTTTCCTTTCTTTCTTTCTTTTTTTTTTTTAGGTTGAGACTTTTATGTGTTTTTAATAGCCCTTCATTAAACTAATAACCACCTGACAGCAGGGGCATCATGAATGCCTAATTGCTCAGCACCAGCCTGTGTTGGTCCAAAACAATGGTTAAGTGACTGGATATTTCTGATGGTGGATGGGGAAGCTTGTGAGATCCTGCCCAGAACAAAGGGGGCTTGGGGGACAAGAGAGATTCTAGATGGAGAGTTCTGGAAAAGCTTCAGCTAATGGGACCTCATGCTGGTTTTGTGTCTGAACGTAGATTGGCTTTTCATTTTTGTTGGCAGGAAACCTTTAAGTGGATCCTGCTACCGGAGTAGAGCCTGGTTCGTGGGGGGCGTGGTGGGGGCAGAGACAGATGGGGGTTGAGGACCATTTATCATCCTTCCTCTGGCTATCCTTTGAAACAGGATCAGTTACCATCATGCCTGTCGGCTTGCATCAGAGCTGGGATTTTTGAAAACTGAGAAACAAGCATTTTTGGCAGTAACTGAGTCTAACCATTCCGTCATACAGATAGGGAGACAGAGATCCAGAGAGATTGAATCACCGAATGTAGCAAATACTGGCACAGTTGGAGTGTGAAGGCGGGTTCCAGGAATCTCAGTTTGGTGTTCCTTGGTTCCTATGTACAGCCCAACTATTTTGGTTTGTGTCCAGTTGAATAAAACGAAGTCCTCGCTTGTCAGAGGCTGCCAACCAAGGACGAATGGGATGTCGACTCTTTTATTACATAACTAATAGTTTGTTGTTTTTTTCTGATTATAAAAGTAGTGCACATTCATTGAGTTTCACACAACAGAAGGATGCAAAGAATGTGAAAGTCACCAAGACTCCCTACATCATAAGATCACCACTGGTTGTTTTTTTTTTCCTATACCCTTGCAGTCTTTTTAGCGAGTATAGGTATGTATACGGCCCCTTTTAAAAACAAAAAACTGGATCTTAACTATTCAAATAGTTTGACACGTTTTACTCTTTCGCATTAAATTAACAGTCTTTGGTAATCTCCATTCTAGGAATCAAAGAAATGTACACTCTCCTTTTGGTGCTCAAAACCATGAGGGCATTTGAGTTACCAAAAAAAAGCAAACAGCTCACTACAAGGATAAAACCAAAAAGAAAATGTAAAAACTTTATGCAAAATCATTTTGCAGTAGTGCGTTTTATGGTCTTCAGAATCTCCTTTACCTCTGACCTGCGTTAATCTCCAGTAAGGGAATACCTTTTTTATTTTTTATTTATTTATTTTTTAAAGAATATTTATTCATTTGACAGAGAGAGATCACAAGTAGGCAGAGAGGCAGGCAGAGAGAGAGAGAGAGAGAGAGAGAGAGAGAGGAGGAAGCAGGCTCCCTGCCCAGCAGAGAGCCCGATGCGGGACTCGATCCCAGGACCCTGAGATCATGACCCAAGCCGAAGGCAGCGGCTTAACCCACTGAGCCACCCAGGTGCCCGGAATACTTTTTTTTTAAATTTTTTTTTTTATTTATTTATTTGACAGAGAGAAATCACAAGTAGGCAGAGAGGCAGGCAGAGAGAGAGGAGGAAGCAGGCTCCCCGCTGAGCAGAAAGCCCGATATGGGGCTTGAACCCAGGACCTGGGATCATGACCTGAGCCGAAGGCAGCGGCCCAACCCACTGAGCCACCCAGGCGCCCCCGGAATACTTTTTTTAAATATCAACTTTATTTAATCCTAAGTCACATACATTAAACTGCATCCATTTAAAGTGCCTAATAGAGTGGGGTTTCTTGTTTTGTTTTGTTCCAAAAATTTCATTTATCTGTTTGTCAGAGAGAGAGTGAATACAAGCAGGGAAGTGGCAGGCAGAGGGAGAAGCAGGCTCCCCACTGAGCAAGGAGGCAGATGCTAGACTTAATCCCAGGACCCTGGGATCATGGCCTGAGCTGAAGGCAGATGCCCAGCCAACTGAACCACCCAGGTGCCCCCTAACACAGGGGGATTTAACAGCTATGTGCATATACCCTGAAAATCACCTCCATAATACAGAACAATTCCATCATCCTTAAGGGATTCCATATGTCCCTTTTCAGTTCCTACCCCAGCCAGGCAGCCACTGATCTGCCTTTGTACACTGGAGTTGGCATTTTCTAGAACATTCATAATGGAGTTGTCCAGTATCTACTTTTCTGCATGTGGCTTCTTTCACTGAGGGTGTATTTTTGTTTGTTTTAATGTAAATTTTAAGTGGCAGTCCTTATAGCAAAGCACAAAAATCATAACTGTACAGCTCAACTTGTGTTACCATTTTTAACAGATGCTTTATCGGGATTAGGTTTCATTAACAGTGACCCAAAATAATAGTGGCTGAACACAGTAGAACTTAATTTCTTTCTTACATAAAAGTCCTGCCTGCTCACAAGGGTAGGTGCTTGTCCTCATGTTCCAAAATGGCGACGAGAGTTGTAGTCATCACGTCTGCCTTCCAGTCATTAGGGTGGGAAAAAAGAAAGGATAAAAAGGGCACGTGATAGCTGTCCTTTAAGGCAGGTTCTGGGGAGTCACAATGTAATGATTTGGCTTCATCTCAGTGGGCAGTACTTAATCCTGTAACGGTACCTAGCTGCAAGAGACGTTGGGAAATGGTTTTTTGTTTTTTGGTTTTTTTCTCCCTTGGTTAGCCATACACTTGCGTGAAAGTCAGGGACTGTCTGACTCAGGAGGAGGAGAGTAGATTGGGGGATAACCCCATAACCTGTGTCACAGCCACATGACGTTCCCTGCAGGGATGTTCAGTAGTGAGGTTAAGCACCCCTGATATCTGGGCATCTAAGTTTCTCCCAGTGCTTTGGCTGAGATAAATCCCACGGTGAAGCACAGCCTCAGGCCTAGTGTCTAGCCAGGGCCACACTGCTGGATCCCGCTAGGCATGTGTGGCCAATTGCATTTACATCCAAATTAATTAAAACTTAAAAAAAATCAAGAGTTCCATTTTGGAGCCACTGTCCGCCCCCCCCCATTTCAAAGACTCGGTCGCCACATGAGTCTTTGGGGAGTCTCCGTGGCTACCGACTCTGTTGGATGAGCAGACAAAACATTTACATCCTTGCAGAAGCTTCTGCTGGACATCACTGTAGGGCGCCCAGTCTGGTGGGCTCAGTGTGGGCTTGAACCTCAGCCTGACCTGTAAGCTCTGACACAGTGCCTGGCCCGGGGTCAGCCTACACTCTGCAGTCAGAATTCTCCCTTAGGCCCACAGCCCTGGGAGCTGGCCTTGGGTAGATCAGATGGTGTGCTGCCGGTATAGGCAGTAGTGATTACTGCCTGGGTTTCACTGGAGCCCTGCCTCCCACATGGTGAGAGTGTTTGCCTAACTCGCAGGTAGCCTGGGCCCTGCGCCTCGGTAGCCTGGGCCCTGCGCCGGGAGGCTTCTCGACTTCTGCATTCTTTCCGCGGGAGGCTAGGAGTGGAAGAAGTGGCGTCCCATCCAACCCACCCCGGTTCAGAATTGCAAAGACGGCACTTGAGGGCGAATGATTGCCTCTGAGTATTGCCATAACCCAGGAAATGGGGAAGGGCTTAAGCACGTCTATCTTCTGAAAATCATGGTATTTTTAGCTCCGGAATAGTTTAAAGCAGATTTAAATGCACAGTGGATAATGATAACTTTCACAGCTGAGCGATCTCAGAGGACATCTGCTCGATGCTATTCAAACACGATCTGACGGGCTCAGTGTGTTTATTTTTCTTTTGACAGTGCTCAGTGGTAGAGGGAGAGAGAGAGGGTTTCAAGATCCATCATAAGGCGATTAAACTGGATCAGTGCCCAGGGTCCCCTTGGAAGGGAGGCATTTACCCTGCAGTGGCCTCCTGCTCCTCTCTAACACCCCCGCCCCCACCATGGGGAGGTCAGCCATCTAGGAGAAACTGAGGTAGTCCTCATCTGTGTGCCCTGTGGTGAGGGGATCACAGAAGGGCCAAGAGAGCTGCTGCGGTCCCAGGCCTTGGGCACCCTCATCTGTCTTTGCTCTGAGAGCAGTAACATGAAAGGTCAGAAGTATTGGTCTGCAGCTCAGGGCTTGTCCACACAGCTCCTGCTTGGATGCTTCCAGTGACTGAGAGCTCACTCCTTCACCTCCAAGTCCTTTTGGTTGGGTGAGGTCAGCTTTTCCTGTTAGAAAGTTCTTATCTCAAATCTGAGGTGGCCCCTCTACTTAACCCTGTGTGTGGGAGTTTCCTCACCTCTCCCTGAGCAGAATCACTGTGCCTGCCTTGTAAGAATGTTGTGAAGATTAAACCAGTTAATAATACCGGAAGCACTTAGAGCAGTTCAAGAAAGTCAACTGTTGTTTTTATTATCCCCCTCCCCCCCCAATCGGTTCTTCTCCTAACCCTACCCTTTTTACCTCCCAAACCCACAGGCAGGCCAGAGAGGCACTCCCCTTTGACATCTGATTGCAGAGGGTTCAGGAAGGTCTCTGACCCTGTGGGGTGTGGGAGTGGCTGGGCCAAGGTTGCCATACCATGGAAGGGGCAAGGCCCGGGGAACAGAGTGGGCCCAGGGAGCCAGGTCTTGGGACGGTGTCACTCACCAGCGAGGTGTTCTCAGTAAGCCATGGAACCTTTGTGAGCAGGCCAGAAGGCAAGGGACACTCGAGCCAGGGTGTCAGGAGAACCTAGAGGAGACCATGTGCATGGTGGGCGCTCCATAGGCATTCATAAATAATCCCTCTCTCCTCCTCTGTGTCTAGGAGCCCCTTGTTGGAAGGAAGTCGTATCTCTCATTTCAGTCAGTAGAGATGCACTGAGGTTGGTTGGTCAAGTAACCTCCAGAATGGGTTATGTTGTGGTGAAGGAGGTAATGGGACGGTCCAGGAGACAGCAGAGAGCCATTTCAACAGTCTCACCCTTTGGATCCTAGGCCTTGGCTTGTTGCCATGGTAACTTCAATTTAGCCATTCAGCAGGCTCATCCAACAATTGGCCTCATGGCCTCTGTGCTAAGTACCCCCGTGCCCAGGTACTCTCTTTGTTGCCTCGGGATCGTCCCACTTACCAGCTGTGAGCAGGCCACAGCTGCACCAGCTTTCCTGGAGGAATGTCACCACCTAAAGGGCCTTGAAAGAGTCTATGCAAGCCCTGAATTTTATCCCCAAGGCACAGAATGCTCAGAGAGGTGGAGTCATTCTCCCAAGGTCACACAGCAGTGAGGTGAAGTGAGAACCAGAGGTCGGAGGCCATCTGGGTTTCCGAGCTTGTGCTTCTAGTGTCTCCCCTGGTTTCCTTAGTCTGGCTTTTCCACCAGGAGGGGTGTCTGGGTCTGTTTGGAGCCAGCCCTTGGGTGTTCCTGTCATCTCCCCTCATCTTTGCATTGTGCTCTGCCTGGAAGGTTAGGGGGTCGTTTCACCCCTCCACATCTTGGCTCCTTTCCTGCCGCCTCTCCCCTTCCCTGTCTTCATGGGAGGCTGCTGGAGCCTAAGAGTGTGCCAACCCAGGAGCTGCCTGCTTCCTGTGTCACTGAGCACGCACAGCAGGTACTTGGGGAGGGAAAGACGGATGCTATCGGTGGCTGATGAAACCCACAGTGTCCATTGCTTATGTGGGCAGGAAGGAGTTGGGAGGCTTTTGCGGGTACAGACAGAAGTTAGTACCATAGGAAAACATAGGCCAGATGGGCTATCTCGGGCTCTGAATGCAAAAGACCCAGTTCCTCATCAGCTCTACCCGCAGCTGTGGGAAGTGGGGTCTCCCTGGAGTCCAGCCTTTGTAGGGGGGAAAGAGTGATCCACCTGAAAGCTGCTTTGTTGGTCTGTTAGAACAGCTCATAACCTTACTGGGAGACCCTCTAGAGCACAGAAGGAGAAGGAATTCATCTAAAATCTGCATGTGCTCATGCCAGCTTTCTGATCATTTTTTAAAGAATTTTTTTTATTCTTCCCTTTCCATGTCCGTAGCCACTAGAAGACTAGCCAGCATCCAGAGTAAGCCCTGGGATTATTCCCGAGGAAGAGAACAAGATAGATTGTGGGCCCCTCCACCCCCTCCCCTGTTCTAGCCCTCTTCATTCTGCCCTCGAAACTTGGAAGAAAGCGTGCTGTTTTATTGGTACATTGGAAGTAGACAAAAGCTTCAGCAGGGCTCAGTGGTTTGGGGTTGTTGTTTTGTTTTTTTTTTTTTTCCTTTTTCATCTGCAGTGGCTTTGTGTCTTTGGTTTCCTGGTGAGCGATAGCTGTGCTCAGATGGCCTCTCTGTTTCTCGGGGTGAGCCTGGCCACATCAATACTGGGTTTGATGTATTTTATTAGAAATGGCATATCAACCAGAGAAGACATTTTTCCTCCCCGGTTTGTTCTGCTTTTAACCTCCTCCCTCAAATTTTATAGGCCTGATGTTTTGAGAGATACTCTTTCATTAATAAAAAACACTTTTGGCAGGGGAGGGGGAGGAAAAGAGGTGCTTATTTCATTTCCTGTTCATTACCAGTTAGCTTCATATTTTAAGATCCCTCCAGGCACAAATTCCTAAGTAGTCATCAGGTAGCATGGAAAAATGCTAGTGTGGTTAGACAAGGGAAAATACTTGTATTTTCCCTGACATCGAGTGTGTGTGCTCAGGACAGGGGCTAGTAATGTGGACAGGGCTAGGAACCGGGGGACTTGACTGAAGTCCTTACTGAGTGGGCACATGCAGATACGACTTGTCATGTATGTTTGGTGGTTTTACCCAGGCTGTGAGGCCCAGTTGAGAGGCCCCCACCTCGGTGCAGACTTCCCTGCTTTGAAATGAAGCTTGTGGCTCCTCCCACCACTCCATACGCTCTCGTTCTGGATGCACTTCGTTGTTCATTATATGCCAACTATCTTCATCAGCTCATCAGGGACAAGCTCTGTGTCCCATTCTGTCTCAGCAGCTCCTCCCTGGGGGCACCCTCAGCCCCCACGTCCCCCGGCACTGCTCTCTGGGCCCTGCGTAGAGCTTCCCACAGCCCACAGGGCATGCTTGGTACACATAGGTTGAAATGACAATCAGATTTTTAGCGCCTCTTGCGGGTTACCACTTTCTGCCCGGGTTAGAGGTATGTGCATCCGTTTATTTTCCTGTTAGGCCAGAGGTTGGCCAACTTTCTCTGCAAGGGCTGCGTAGGAAATGCTGTGGGCTCTGTGGCCCATACGGTCTGTGTCTGTAGCAACTACTGAAATCTGCTGTTAGGAGCACCCAGGCAGGGGCGCCTGGGTGGCTCAGTGGGTTAAAGCCTCTGCCTTTGCCTCAGGTCGTGATCCCAGGGTCTTGGGATCGAGCCCCACATCGGGCTCTCTGCTCAGTGGGGAGCCTGCCCCCCCAAACCCCGCCGCCTGCCTCTCTGCATACTTGTGATCTCTCTCTCGCTCTCTCTCTGTCAAATAAATAAATAAAAATCTTAAAAAAAAAAAAAAAAAAGGCACCCAGGCAGCCACAATGGTGTGCAAACAAGCATGGGGGGCCTGGCCTCCAGGGCATTCACAGAAACAGGCAGTTCACCCTTAATGTGCTGATCCCCAAACCAGATTGTCAGCTTCTGAAGAGGCAGGTCTTGGTCTTATCTGCCTTGTGTGTGGCAGAGGGCCATGTGAGAGAGAGAGCTCAGGGACCGGGAATGCTTACATAGGGATAATCAGTGAAACAAAAGGCTGAAGCTTGAGCAGCACATTTGCAGACGACTGACCCAGCAGCTCCACTCCCAGGCACACGCCCAGCAGAAATGACTGCGTGTGGTCACGCAGAGCCACGCACCGGCCTGGCCCCAGCAGCAGCATTTGCGGTAGCCTCAGACTAGGAACTGTCCCCCTGCCAATCAGCAGGAGAACAACTGGAAAAAATGGTGCTGTATTCACACAGCAGATGCCCTGAGCGCTGGGTGCACTACGCACCTCATGGGTCCCTGAACTCTACCTCTGAAACCAATACCGCGCTATATGTTGATTGTTTCAGTAAAATAAAATTTAAAAACTAATTCAGCAATGAAAATAAAGGTGCTCTAGGTAGAAATACAGCTCAGCCTCACAAACACGATGTTGAATTGAGAAAAAGATGGACATAGGATTGCATATGAGCCTGTTCATACAGAATGGAAAGACAGGTGAAGCAAATCTGGGTTGTGATTACCTTGGTGAGGGTGGTGACTGGGAGGGGGTGAGAGGCGGCTTCTGGGGCACTGGTTACTTTCTGTTTCTCAATCAGGGTGCTGGTTCCAAGGGTGTGTTCCGTTGTGAGACGATCACCAAGCCGACACTTAGGACCTGCATACCTTTCCATGTGAATGGTATAATTCAATCAGGCATTTGGTTTAAGGGGAATAAAAGGGGGGGGCAGTTTGTCCAAACAGTATCTAAGCAGAGCCTTCAGCCAGCCATTCTAATCCTCTGGCTGATGCTCCCCAGCTTCTGCTTCCTGCTAACCCCAGACCTGGGCCCTTGGTCCTATAAACAGGAGCGTTGAAGCCTGGTGCCTTCTTGCGCCTCTGGCCATCAGGGCGCAAGGGTAGGAGCTGGGGCTGCGTGGGAACCGGTGGAGCGTTCTGAGGGTGGGCCAGGTGGCCCTGTGTGTCCCCCCTGCTCTCCCCTCACCTTCTGGCAGCCTAGGTCTGTGGCAGGCATGTGATAGGTGTCCTGGGGCTTCCCTGTCTCCTTCACAGAACATTGTAGCGGTGGGAGCCGGGTTCTGTGATGGCCTCCATAGCGGGGACAACACCAAAGCTGCCGTCATCCGCCTGGGGCTCATGGAAATGATCGCCTTCGCCAGGATCTTCTGCAAGGGCCAGGTGTCCACGGCCACCTTCCTGGAGAGCTGTGGCGTGGCTGACCTCATCACCACCTGCTACGGAGGCCGGAACCGCAGGGTGGCTGAGGCGTTTGCCAAAACCGGGAAGGTAGCCCCTGGCCTGTCCTCCCCTGGGCGCGTGCGTCCTCCCTGAGACCTCTGGGCTGGGGCGAGCCGCAGTCCCCTGGAGGCGGAGGCAGGCGTTTGTCGTTGGCTGGGCATATCCCACTGCCACTTGTCTGCTTTTGCTTTAAAGTACCTTTGCCTGAGTCCTTCAGCTTGCATGTCTCTCCATGGCTTGTGCAGAGGGGGGATGCCAGCTCCCCTCTGCAGTGCTCCTCTTGAAATAAGTGATTCTCTGGTCTTTTTTTTCCTGAAGACTTCTTTATTTGCGAGACAGAGCACGTGCACATGTGTGCATGGTGGGGCGGGGGGCAGAATGGCAAGCATACTCTGCCCTCGGCACGGAGCCCAACATGGGGGCTCCGTCGCATGACCCAGAGATCATGACCTGAGCGGGAACCAAGAGCCAGACACAGAACTGACCGCACCACCCAGTCACCTGACTCTCTAGTCTTTACAGTAGCGTTTTCTGCTTGATTTTAAGACCATCGAAGAATTGGAGAAGGAGATGCTGAACGGACAGAAGCTCCAAGGACCGCAGACGTCAGCTGAAGTATACCGGATCCTGAAACAGAAGGGGCTGGTCGACAAGTAAGTCACCCCCCTGCCCCGCCCCCTCTGTCCCTGCGACCAGAGGGCGGCCACCCCGTGCTTCCCTCATGACCGCCGTCCCAGTCAGTGCACATGGGCACAGCTGTGCGCAGAACTCCGCTCAGATAGTTCCGCCTTCGTGTGATGTGAACATCTGTGGCAGGAAACATCTTCCTGCCCTGAAAATGAGTGTTGACACAGAACCAGCCTCAGCTTCGGGGAGAGGAACTCAATTCCCCTTTTTTTTGAGAGAGAGAAAGCACACGCACTTATGAGAGAGCATGCAGTGGGTAGGAGGATGGTTGGCGGGGGCAGGGAAGGGGGAGAGAGAGAATCTTAAGCGGGCTCCACGCCCAGTGCAGAGCCTGACACCCGGCTCAATCCCACCACCCTGAGATCAGGACCTGAGCTGAAACCAAGAGTTGGACACTTAACTGACCGAGCCGCCCAGGTTCCCCAAGAAGAACTTAGTCTTGTAAAGCAGGTTACAGAACACGAAGGTTGAGGTTCTGGTTTATCCTGCAGGGTGTTCGGTAAGAACTGCATGTCATTAAGTCTTGAACTCAGAACAGATTACCTTGTTGTTTGTTAATAAAAAGATACAGTCTTGTTAATAAAAGGTCAGACAGTTCAGAAAAGAAGAAACGTACAAGGTAGCCCAGAATGCTCCCACTAGAAGTGACCTGCATTCAGGTTTGCCCAGGAACTTGGCAGTGTCTGTGTCCTGTGGATGAACAGGTGCCTCTAGCCTCCACTGCCCTTCCGGGATGGTCATTTGCTAAAGGTGGGCCTGGGACAGCCTGATCAGCTGATTGAGGGAGTAAACCCTGTTGCCCCGCCAAGCCCCCAGCCTCTCTGCAGCTGCCCTGTGGCCCTTTATCTTGCTTACTTTTGCTGAGCCTTCTTCCATAACCACGAGGCCGGCGACACCATCTAGTAACTGCCTATGCAGCCTATTCTGCATATCCTCCTCTTTTCAGGAGGGAGGGAGAGGTTTGCTTGCCTGGGAGAGGAGGGGGCCGGGCAGCTGCGTGGACGCTGCCAGGTGTGGCCAGTCCAGAACACGCACTTCCCCCTGAGCCAGTGATGGTTAGAGATGTGGTTGCTGGTTCTCTGGTGTGTCTCCTTCTTCCTCTTCGGCTCAGTCCAGATGTCTGCTGGTCCCGACCACCCACCTTTACCTCCCCTACACCCAGCTCTCCTCCTCTCTGCACCAGTACACACTGGTGAGCTGTAGAGTTCCCTATAGAAAGTTGAAAAGGAGGGAGGACAGGACAAGGACATTCGTCTTCCTTCTTTAATTTGCACTTTATTTTTCTGAAATGGCTTTCAAAACCAGCCAGGCAGAGATGGAAGGCATAAACAGGCCTCCAGAGGAGGAGAATTACCTGTAAATCCTGGCTAAAAGGAAAACATCTCTGATGGGCCTGGTGTTCCTTCCATACTTAAAAGGGCAAACAGTGGAGTGCTTGTCTGTGGTGGGGCCACTTTACTGAACGTTAAATATTTATCAGTTTTCTAAAGTCTTAAGAAAACATTTGGGTGTTTGTGGATACTGCTGATGTCCGAATCACGGTTTTCAAGTGCCATCTGTCTGCTACCGTGGGGCGTATTTGATAGGATTCTATGAATGGACGAGTCTGTCTCCATCGTGGAACTTGGGGAGGCTATGCATTGGAACTGGTGTTCTGGAATCAGTACCTGTGCCTGTTCTAGAAAAGCAGGTGTAATCAAGCAGGTGAACCTTGGCTCTGAGCAGATGCCCCTCCTCCGTCACGTCCCATTTTCTTTCTGCTGATTAGAAATGGAACAGGCTGTGCCTGTGCTTAATGAGGTCACTGCCGGGTTGGAGGGAACACCTCGCTTCCCACAGGCTGGGGCGCAGAGTTCTGGGGGGGCTCTCCCTTCCCCTGCACGCACCTCCTAGAGCTGCTGAGGCAGAGCCCAAGTTCTGCCATTCTCCCTTGCTCTTTTTCCCTTTGTCACCCCAATACTCTGATCTCCTCTCTTCCCACTCCGCCACCATGGCCACGGAAAGCGCAGTGAACAGGAGGGCAATGTTTCCAGCCACCTGGGGGCTTCCTAGCCATGTGGTCTGGGGCAGGTCATATTTTTATCTGTGCCCTAGTTTTTTCTTTACCCACCAAATCAAACCAGCACACCTGATGATTGCCTTCTACCTCGACTCTTTTGACTCACTCCTGCTCATCCGGAATGGGTCCTTAGGTTGGCATGTGGGATAGCACCTCTCAGTTCTGTGCCCCTGGAACTTTCTGACACTGTCCTGGGACGCCCTACAACCCCTCCTTCAGCTGAAGCAGACCTCCCTTTGCCCCAATACCCTCTTCTCAGAGGCTTCTGTGCATGTCTGCCCTCCTGCTGTTTGGCCTGCCTAGACGGCCCACCTTGATAGGTGTGTCAGCCCTGACCACCCTTGAGGTGACCCAGGTCTGTCCTCAGACCCGCCTTCATCCACCTCCTCCAGACGCAGATAACTCTCCCAGCTTTGAACATCCTGTTTACAGGAGTGGTCGGCAAACTTCTGTAAAGAACCGCATAATAAACATTTAGTCTTTGCAGCCCACATACAGCTCTCTGGTGTATATTCCTTTTTTTTTCTCCCTTATATAGCCCTTGAAACATACAAGAATTGTCCTTAGCTTGCAGGGAGCGCAGAACAGGCCACAGGCCAGGTCGGCTTCTCAAGCTGTGGCTTGCTAACCCCAGATATAGACCATCCTGCTGCTCAGGGGCTGTGGGCTTCTTACGTAAATGTGCAATTTTACTTTCAGTCTGTTAGATTTGAGCAGGCGTGGGGGGAGAGGGGCACATGCTCCTGGTTGAAAAAAAAGAAATTTGAATCTTAGTAAAAGGCACCTAGTGAAAAGTTAACTCTGGAGCCCCACCTTTAGTGCAGGCAGCTTTCTGAGTTTTTAGCATATCCTTCCATTTAGGGAATGGGTGCTGTGCCCTGCGTTCCGCTCTGCTTTCCTTTGTTGGAGGATAGGGTTTGAAGAATGTGCCACATCGGCACCAGCAGATCTCTCACATAATGGCTGCAGAGCATTCCACAGTGTGGGAGAACCACAGTTTATTTAAACAGTCTCCTCCTGATAGATAGGCACTGGGTCGTCTGGGTTTCTCTGCTGTTCGAAAATTTGCTTTATTACATTTCCTTGTGCATGCGTCTTCAGGGGCATGTGTGAGTATCAGGTGTTTGCATTCGTTTGCTGGGGCGGCCACCACAAAATACCACAGACCAAGAGGCTTACACGGCAGAAATTTCCTTCTCACGGTTCTAGAATCTGGGAGGCTAAGATCAAGGGGTCAGCACGTGCCTTCTCATGAGACTCTCTTCTTGGCTTGTTAATGGCCGTCTTTCCCCTGGGTCTTCATGTGGTCTTCCCTCTGTCCCGTGTGAGTCCTAATCTCCTTGCCTCATAAGGACGACAGCCATATTGGTTTGGGGCCCACACTTTATGAACCCCTTTTAATGTAATTACCTTTTTAAGGGCCCTAGGTCCAAATACAAGTCCTGGGGGTTAGGACTTCATTGGATGATTTGGGATTTGGGGGCACCACTCAGCCCAGAACCATGTTGTAACCTTCCTGAGGGCTGGGACCTTACTGATAATACTCCACATCCTACACCTGGTTGAAGACTGACACATCTGAAGTCCTCAGTATCCATTAGTGGGATGGCTAACTGACTGGCTCATGCCAATATTTTTCAATGAAATAAATGTCTTTCGCCCTCCTTTCACCTCTAACCTCATTTAGAGAGTTCCCCAAACTGATCTAACTGGCCTTACGGCATTTTATGTTATATAAAATAACATTTAGATGGGCAGTATAGCCTAGTGGTTGAATCTTGGCTCCAGAGTTAGAAACTGTGCCTCCGTCCTCATCTATGATGGGGATATTATCCATCTCATAGGGTGGTTGTGAAAAATAAACAAGTAACTTGTCCATAAAAATCCCCCCTCCCCCCACACACGTACTCCAAATCTCTTGTTAGCATCCCATTGCCCAGTTTAAAAAGCCTCAAACAATAGGGTTATTTTGTTCATGGAACAAGGATTCTGGAGGTGGACATTACTGGTGTTGATGCAGTGCCTCTAGCTTAGAATCTCAGTAATCCTGTCAGTCTTCCCTCAAAACCTCAAGATGGCTGCAGCAGCTCTGTGCATCACATACACAGCTGCACTCAGTGACATGGAGCAGGCGCAGTCTGGGGAAGCAGAATTTTCCTCCAGTGCCTCTCAAGGAGAAGAGTATTTTCCTCAGCAGAGGTGTTGGGTCTTACTCTCTAGAATTTGCTTCCTTGGCTGATTCTAGGAGAAAGTAAGGCTGGGAAACGGAGCGTTAGGCTATTTGCAGTGTTGGTAAAGAGTGAAGGGATTTAGGAATGGCTTCGGGTGGACATTCATCACCTGCTACCCTGCTCTGGGGAGACACAAATTGTTCTAATAATGGGATCAGGAAAACTAAGCCATGGAAAGATGAAGGGGCTAAAATCTGTGGGCTCTAACTCCCATTCCCAGTGTTCATTCAGCAGTATTCGCTGAGCACCTGCTCTCAATCTGTGCACTGTGCCAGATCCCAAGGATGCAGAAGCGAATAAAACACTTGGGGCCCTGTCCTCCAAGAGCTTGCTAGGACGTAGGGGCTGTCTTGTGGCTGTGTGTATAAACTGTCACTTAACTGCACACTTGCCACATGACAAGTGTTCTACTCTGCAGGTTATGTATAAGTCACTTCATACAGTAGGCCTTAACACAACATGTCATGCCCCATTTTACAGAGCGGTTGTGAAAATTGCCCAGAGCAGACAGACTGGATTTGACTGCCTGCCTAACTCCAAAACAAAAACAAAAACAAAACAAAACAAAACATTCTGTACCTTAAAAAACCCACAGTGATAGACATATGACCTATCAGGGCTGTTTGCCATTTGTAAGTTAAGTTGTCATTATAGGATTCCAGCTAATTTTCAGAACGGCCTTTAAGACTCTATTGATCTTGTCAAGCTTACTTTGGGCTCTGTGTGTGTGTGTGTGTGTGTGTGTAGAAGCCTGATTAAAATTAACTTTGTTATTTCCTTAGTGATACCTGCTGTTTAAAATACTTGCTGAGCCAGCTGGACCCTGGGATAATGCTGTCCTTTCTCACGGTGGATTATTGGCCCACACCTTTGTACCCTCAGCCATTTCAAATTTTTCATTTATATCCGTGTTCACAGCCTGGAAGAAAAGGCAAAATAAACCCAGCTTCCAGCTTGAGATCAGTGCTTTGCTAATTGTGGGTGCCCACGTTGATTCTTGCAGGAATGTTCCAGACCGGAACTATTTATGGTGAAACGTGGGCCGCCTCATTCTTTATCCTTGGATGATCCCTTTTGGAGGAGGGAGAACGATACCTCCTTGCAATTTGAAATTTATTCTCCAGTCTTTTAAATTATTGACAGAAGCCTGGACTCACGAGCCCGAGCTACAGCTCTTCATGTGAATGGCCGCAGATGGCCCTGCAAGGATTACCGTGGGACTTGTTTGGAGACTGTCTACACCAAACAAGTAGGCAGAGCATGGTCTAGGTCATAGCAACATCTTACAACCACCGTGCAGAGGCTCTCTGTCCACCAAATGATAGAGGAATATAATAGACGGCGTTCACTTTGTTGACTAAAGTAGCACATGCATCTGTAATCTGTAATCTGTTAGGGAGGAGAGGAAGGCTCATTTGTTCTGTGAGGTAAACCAGATGGCTCAACTTGCCTTTGTTCACATTTCCTCCCAACCAGGTTCCCATTGTTTACGGCAGTGTATCAGATCTGCTATGAAGGCAAACCCGTTCAAGAGATGTTGTCCTGTCTCCAGAGCCACCCAGAGCACGTCTAAAGTGGATGGTGCAGCGTCGTGGGGAACGTGTTGCCTTTCTGATCAGTCTTTTTCGTTCAGATGGAAACTGGGACCGGGCAACACGATGTTTGCTTGACCATAATCCCGTCATGGGTGAGGATGAATTTTTATGAGTTCAGTTTTGAATTGCAAGACGCAGTTCACTGGCTGAGATGTGGTAGGCAACAAATAGACACATGTATGAATGTGTGAGTCTGTGTTCATTTCTCATGCTGTGGATATTTCTATGAACCAAAATTAAAGGTCCTTTTTAAAAAATTATTTTTGAATTTTCCCACCATGGTAGCTTAGAAGATGGGAATGAGCTCAGCTAAATTTTTTACGTCTAATCCATATGCATTTGAGTGAGGGGATTTTATTTTTTTCTCATTCTCTTGAAGTTAAAACTGAACCAGCATTTCCATGGTAGAACAGAGGAGTGAGTGTGTTCAAAGATCAACATACTGTAACTTAAACTCTATCTCAAAGCCAGCATAATTAACTACTTTGATTGTGGGTTGATCTTTTTTTAACAATTAGAGATTTTTAATTGGGTGATCCACTTATATATCTTCCTCTTCGCAGTTTTCTGCATTTTTAGCCTCTTTTCTCATCATTCGCTGCCAGAATGTGCTTTCGTATAGAGGCTCAGCAGTAACAGAAGGCAGAAAACGCATCTAGGCTTTTCCTGCTGTGACTCACACATTCTACTGACTAATGACCCTTGTATGATGCTTTTTCTTGGGTAGTCCTTTTGTGCAAACATTTCCTCTGAGCCTCACAGATCCACTGAGATGGGACTCCCGTTATTCCTCTTTTGAGTTGCAGTCATGGTACTTGGTCACCTGGCAAGTAGGGGGAGAGCTGAGAGTCAAGTCCAGTGTTCCTCCACCCCACCGCGGTGCCTAGACCTCCGGTATCACCAAGCCGATCCGACCTCCAGCTGATGGGTCGTGGGAGATGGCATGTGCAGCCTTTCCTGAGACTCGAACAGGGCTTTGTGCCACTGAGATTGGCGTGGGCCATTGTCTAGACGGCTGCTGCTCACTGTGGTCCTCACTCCATTAGCTTCCCTTAGAGTCTCAGAAATGCAGGTTCCCAGGTCCCACCCCAGGCTTCTCAACGGGAGTGAGGTATCTGTCTATACTTTAATATGCCTTCCACGTGTTTCTGATGCTCACTACAACTTGAGAACCACTACTTTAGAAAGTCTGCTCAGATTGGCATTTCTCAAACCATGTCCCATAGGACATGAGTGTCCTGGGATCCCATGGTGGTTTGGGGTGTTCTCCGGCAAGATCAAGTGCATCTGGAAAAAGCTGCCTCTGCACACCCCTCTTGAAGGCTTAGAATGTGTGTTAGTTTGTCAGTGGAACTATCCAGCAAGTTCCAAACATCTTAGACTACCAAGGTTTCTTTGAGAATCTTGCCGAGTCTTTAAGGGAACACTGATCTAGGCTGCGGTGACCTGAGGACGGCCCAGGTATACCCTTCACTCCCTGCAGAAGTGAGGATGAATGACTTACCCACCTGTGGCATTGTTAGCTCTGAACTTTCACAGTTCAGGCCTGCAGTGAATCTTTGATGAAGCTTTAAGGTGACACGGTCAAGTACAACCAAGTGGAGGTCAGCCTCGCTGAAACGCACATTATGTCGAATAAGTGCTTTTAATTCTACAGTTAGAATGAGAATTACTGTATCTTCTTAAATGAGATTGATTTCAGGATAGCATTATAGTTATCTTACATAGCACTTGGAAAGTGTTAAGGGAACGTATGAATGTCACTTACATATTCATGGATTTTCAGTCACTTTGTGAGATTTTGACTTTTTTTTTTTTTTTTTTTTTTTTTTTTTTAGTTTTCCAGTTTGGGACTTTTTTTTTTTCCTTCTATACCTGAAATGACTATAGAATAGATTTTTGTGGGAATTTTAAAAACTCAATCTGGAACATTCGAGGGTATTTTAAATCCTCATACACTGAAGTCTATGAAAGCACACAAAATCTACAAGTTTCACTAATCTTCCGTGCCACTGTTAAGTTAATCAATTTTTGCTTGTCTCATGATTAATCTTTTTAAAAATTTGTACATAGATAATAAAGTGTTACTTTTTAAGATACTTAAAGGGCTGTAAGCTAATTGTGTCTATTAAGTAGGGTAACTAGATGTGAGGAATTAGGATTTTGTTTTACATTATGTTCTCATCTGCATTCAGCTTCCTGCTCTAGGTTTCCTACTTGTTTTTTCTTTTTGAGTGTTCTCCTGCTGATCTGAAGTCCGTCGACTGTACCTCTTGAACGTAACTTTTGATATTCTGCACATTAATGGAAAAAGGCAAATTTTACGAGTTTGTTCTCTGCTGACTGTAGATATTTATTACTGAGTTATCTATTTTTGTAACCACCTGTGGTCCATCGTTTGATTTTAATTCTTATTTCTTACTAATTATGGTAAAAGGGAGGGAGACATCTAGAGGAAAAGCTTAATTTGTACTAGTTCAGCCAATCTGTGAATGTAAAAACTTCACTGTTGCCTTGCTATAATCCAGCCTACTATAATGTGGAACAAGTATCTGTCCTGAAATCCATCCTAGCAGGTGGAGTTGAGCTAAACTCCTTCTGGTTTTTCATTTAACTCTTAAAACCTGGCCCCATGGCATTGGCCCACAGAGTGATGAGGTGCCCGTGTACGAAGGGATCTTTCGTTTTTCCACCACTTCCAATCTAAGAGCCTTTTACTCACATGTGTACTGTATCTGTTTACAGACTGTAGGTGGATATAATTTAAAATCTTGATTTAATAAACATCTAATGCCCCAAACCTATGCTGCTGGCTCCTTTTTTCTGGCTTAGTTAAGAGCTTTATTTATCTAGGTCAGCTCTTTTTTGCCTGAATTGTGTTGCATTAACAGTAATGGAAAAGTAATTTTTAAAAGAAGGTTTCCTCTCTAATCCCACTCCTCAAGCATATCTATTTCCATTTGTCTGCATTCCTTCCCATGGCTTGGTGGTATTTTATATAATCATAATCGTAGGATGGCGGCCTTCCAGTTGCAGCCACACAATGGAGGAATTTTATCTTCATCTTTTGTTTATTTTTATCTTTCCTTCCTTCCTTCCTTCCTCCCTCTCTCCCTTCCTTTCTTCCCTTCCTTTCCTTTTCTTCTTTTCTCTTTTTTCTTTCCTTCCTTCCCTCCTTCCTTCCTTCCTTCCTTCCTTCTTCCTTTTTCTCTTTCCTTTCCCAGAGAGAGACTGAGGGAGAGCACAAGCAGGGGGAGCAGCAGACTACCTGATGAGCAAGGATCCCTGCTCAGTACTGGATCCCAGGACCCTGGGATCATGACCTGAGCCGAAGGCAGAGGTCTAACCCACTGAGTCACCCAGGCATCCCTGGAGTAGTAAGTTTGAAATCCATACCACCACCACCTCAAATACCCAGAAAAGCTAGGAAGATACAACCAGCATCCCTTTTATATGCAGGGCTGATCTCAACAAGAATGTGAAGGAAATCCCCTGGAGGCTGAAATAATTAGGGACTGACAACCAGATCTGTAAAGCCATGGGGTGGCTCTCTGGCTTCCAAGAGGGAGTGGCAGTACTCTCCATTGTCTGAGGGTTTGGGCTGTAAAGGTTAATGCTAGAACTAGAACCTGCAGGGGAAGAAATGGGCCAAGAAAACCCATGGATAGGCACAACCAAGGAAGGGGTTCCAGGTGGAGAAAAAGGTCTCTGCTAAAAACTTGAAATTTTGAGTCCAACACCACAAACAGGTTTTGGGTTTGAATTTTGATATCCAGGAGATCACAAGCAAAAAGCAAAGAAAGAAAAGACGATGGCCTGGTAATGCCAGTAAAGAACTGGCAGAAGCAAACACAAAACCGATGCACAGACGTACTCTGGATCCACGCGGCACAGGCCTCCCATGAATAAGGTCCCACTGAACATGCCCTTTAAAGTTCAGAAAATACAAACAAGGGCTGGCCAGGGTGCCGAGAGTAGGGAATCCTGATGCAGTGTTGGTGGGAATGTAAGTTGGTACAGTCACTGTGAATGGCTTTTGAGGAATACAGAGTTTCCTCAAAACACTAAAATTAGAGTTACCATATGTTCCAGTAATTTCCTTACTGGGTATTTACCCCCCCAAAATGAAAACACTAATTTGAAAAGATAAATGCACCCTTGGGGTGCCTGGGGGGCTCAGTCAGTTGAGTGGCTACCTCGATTTTGGCTCAGGTCATGATCTTGGGATCCTGGGGAGTCTGTCTCCCTCTCTCTGCCCCTACCCCCACTCATGTTCTCTCTCTCTCAAATCTTTTTTTTTTTTTTTTTTTTTTAAACAGAGATCACAAGTAGAGCAGCAGGCAGAGAGGGAGGGGGAAGCAGGCTCCCCGCTGAGCAGAGAGCCCATGTGGGGCTTGATCCCTGAGCCAAAGGCAGAGACTCAACCCACTGAGCCACCCAGGTGCCCCTCAAATAAAGAAATCTTAAAAAAAATAAGTGACTCAAGTTACTGAAGCAAGCCATGTTACCCTTGGTTTGGAGGGGAGGTTAGTAATGGGGCAAGTGGGAATGGTACGCAGTCTAGCTCACAGGATTACTTGTAAAGGTCAGTGAAAAGCAAGAAATCTTATTAACATTCAAGGAGAAAACTCACATGATCCTATTAATAGCTGCTTGTGACAGAAGCCATTCTGCATGTTCATCAAATTAATTTTTTTTGTGAGATACGCAGTTAAATTGTATTTCTCCGCAACCCAACAGTTAGGTGAGTGCGTTCTGGCCGATGGCACAGGCAAGAAAGAAATTGCACTTGTTAGATTCTTTGCTCTTGGGTGTGCTGATTGGATTATCAATATCCAGAATGACTTGGAAGCTATCTGTTGAAGATAGTGGATCCTCTTTCAGCCTGGATTCCTACAGGACTGTGTAGAGAATATCCCTCTGCCCCACCACACACCCACCCTCGTTCCACATTGTACTGTAATAGGTACAAAAATAAAAACTCAACTGTCATACTACACCCCCAAGAGTTGGGAGCTATTGTTAAGAGCACTAGCAAAACTTAACCGAAGATGCTTAAAAAAGATGTTAGTAGTTAAGGGCTGGGGCTTGCAGAAGTACCAAGAGATGTGGGAGAATAGCCACCTGTCATTACAGCATCATGGTCAGATGCCCGCTTGGGCATCTTTGGTTTGGACCAAGAGGCTGTGGAATGTGGGTGGGTAAGCCTGTGGCTATGTTTGTTCCTCTCCTCCCCAGAACTAACTAAGTCCAGACTTTGTGTACATAATTGTCCCTCTTTATCCAGAATTAATGCCAGGAAGGTCCAGGATTTACACTCCTGCTTACTTATTTTTAAATATTTTTGAGTGGCTATCACAGTCACTCGTACAAAAATAAAGTCTATGGTCCGTTTCCCAACTAGCCACTGTTACTAGTTTCTATTGTGCCCTGCTAGAATTTCATTTTATTTATTTGTTGATTTTTAGAAGACTGTATTTTTTTTAATCTTTTTTTTTAAATTTTATTTATTTATTTGACAGACAGAGATCACAAGTAGGCAGAGAGGCAGGCAGAGAGAGAGGAAGGGAAGCAGGCTCTCTGCAGAGCAGAGAGCCCGATGTGGGACTCGATCCCAGGACCCTGGGATCATGACCTGAACCGAAGGCAGCGGCTTAAGCCACTGAGCCACCCAGGCGCCCCAGAAGACTGTATTTTTAAGTAATCTCTACACCCAGTGTGGGTCTTGAACCCACAGCGTCAAGATCAAGAGTTGCACTCTCTCCTGAGGGAGCCAGCCAGGTGCCCTTCCAATTTCATTTTATATAAGCAAATCTATATTCTTAACTCCCTTTCCCATTTTTCTACACAAAATAGAGCTTACTAGAGACATTGTTCTGGACCTTGCTTTTTTCACATAATATTCTGTCTTGACGGGTTTTTTTTGTTTTTGTTTGTTTGTTTTTATTTATTTGACACAGACTCAGAGAGAGCTGAAACACAAGCAGGGGGAGTGGGAGAGGAAGAAGCAGGCTTCCCTCTGGAGCAGGGAGCCGGGTATGGGGCTTGGTCCTAGGACACAGGGATCATGACCTGAGCTGAAGGCAGATGCTTTAAGGACTGAGCCACCCAGGCACCCCTTGACTGTCTTTTTTCTTAAGATTTTACACTTCTATGTGAGAGAGAGAGCGGGAGAGAGCAGGAATGGGGGAGGGGCAGAGGGAGAGGGAGACACAGCCTGCAGAGCAGAGAGCCCTACATAGGGGCGGTGGGGGTGGGGCAGGCAGTGGGAAAAGGGGAAGGCAGGTGCAGGGGGCATCTCAATCCCAGGACCCCGGGATCATGATATGAGCTGAAGGCAGAAGCTTAACCGACTGAGCCATCCAGGCGTCCCTCGACAGTCTATCTCAGTGGCTTGTTTTAAACTGCATTTTTAAAAACTTTCTATTTTGAAATAATTATAGGCTCACAGGAGATGCAAGGGTAGTACAGAGAGATTTCATGTCCCCTTCACCTAACTTGCCTGCAGATATCAGCACTTAGTTTTTGAAAGCATAAGATAAAAAAAAAAATAGTAGTAAAGCACCTTTAGCACTTTTCTAGTGCTTTATATATATGAATTTATTTAATCCTCAAAATGTACCATCCCCTGATACAGAGGAGGAAACTGAGATACAAAAGCCAAGGAACTTGACAAAAATCAGAGATCATCACCGATAAAGGCAGGACTCGAACTCAAGCAGTTCGGCTTAAGAGTTTGCATTCCTAGCTTACAGGTTACACTAGCTCCTCGGAGGAATGGCTGTTCACAGTTTAGCAAAATCAACTCTTTCTGCCAG